GATCCAGCTAACCCAATAACCATTATAGAGATATTGGACTTTGATCTTGTCACCACTGCAGAAGTGAATGTTGCCCAGCCAGCATTTCAGAGCAGTGAAATTTTGGGGGTGAAATTCCACATTTAGAGGAATATTAAGCTATGTCTACACATGTGGTAGCATGTAGAGTACAAGCATTACACAGGAAGCTACATCCTGCAGTGAAAGGCTTTAGTGGGGGAGGCAGTGGAAAAAGGTGCCAGCAGCTCCCCACTCCAGAGTTTTTTCCTGCTGCCTACCCCTTCTCAGAGCCTTTCCCTGTGGTGAAGAAAGACGCCAGCAGCGGAGAGGCAGTGGGATTCCGCACTGCTAAAAATTAGTAGTGTAGACATGGAAGGCACTGCTTGGTCGTGTAGAGAGCTGTGTACGGTACATACCCTAGGATTCAGGCATATAGGATACTCCACTCACCTAAGACATGCCTCACCATCTACACTGATATTTATACCCGTGCACTCTCTCTACTCTACATGCCACCCTACATGTAGAAACAACTTTAGACCGAGTGATGGAGAGGGATTCATGCAGAGTTCAGGTAAGGCTGTCCAAGGTACATAAGTGCAATTTGTTGTCTTAGTCTGCAGTTTCACATGAATATTAACTTAATGTGTGCATCACAGGTGAGACTGGTAGAAATGTCTATTATGAGGTTAACCCAGTACATCCAATTATAAGATCCTATTTTCAGTTGCTTATAACTTAGTCAAATTTTAACCATTTTGGCTGAAATGTCCCGTGCTGGGGTGTCTGCCTCAGGCTTAATTTCAGCCAAAACTGTTCAGCCATTTCCGAGAACAAGGGTAGAGAAACATAAGTTTTTCTCGTGTTAAAAAATGCCGGCAACCTTTTTTTTTGGTTTTTTGTTTGTTTTTTTGAAAAGTTCTAGCACTACCGTGCTTTGGAGCAGGAACCTTAAATTTCGCAGAGGGTGTGGCTTTTGTTTCAGGGATCTGCCTTTTGCCATTCCTGTGAAAATCCACTCAAATTTGCTGAATTAGAAGCTTTCGAAAAATCTCAATTGTTCAACGGGAAGCCAGTGTACGAATGCATCCAGTGCCCCAACTGGGTATCTCATAATTGAAAATCACAACATAAAACAGAGGACTGCCCATAAATATATCTGCCTTCACTCACCCCAACTCAACTGCCTTGAAAAAGATGGGCTTTGCTGCATGCCCGAAGGTTTTGCTCTGTCACATTTCTCTGTGGCCAGAAATGTTTGAATAATGAAGGGAGAATTAACAATGTTTTAAGGGTTTGGTCAAACTGAAAAATTAATCATGTCATTTATAATAGTAGTTGTAATGGTCTATTGAGGAAATGCCGTTTAATAACTTTCTCTGGAGGTTTGTACACTGCTATTCTGCTCTATAAGTAGTGAAATATGATACATGTAAAGTAAATTAAAAATACATCCAGTGAAGGATGAATACTAACTGAGAAGTTAGATGAATTTTCAAGCTGTGTTTCCTGGTGGGAGAAAAAATTATGATAGAAATGCAGTAGACTAAATACTGCTTAAATTATTTACTAAACTATATCAGTCCAACTGATCGCAAATGTGTGTGTATAAATTTGTCGTTCCTTAGATTTGGTTTCAGATTTGGTTTAGTTTTTTATAAACTATATGTCTGTAGCAGGGTGGCAAGCTATCGGATCCTGGATAGGGATAAAAACTAAAATAATTTCTGTTGACACACATAATAAGTGGATCTTGTTAGCACCAACAAAAGCTGTGACAGCAAAGGTCCTCAAGGGCAAACCCTGGGAACTGCCTATTTTGGGGAGAAAGTTTAGGCTAAAGTTGTTTGTTTCTAAGCCTTTTTGTTCTCTACTGTAGCATGCCTGTCACCCTAATTTACTTTACTCAGGAGGAGGAGGAATATAATCTAATGATTTGAAAACAGGGCTAGTAATTTATTTCTACTCTGCTCCTGCTGCACTGAATTGCTCTGCAGCCTTGGGAAAGACACTTAATTTAAAAGCTTCAAAATTTTTCTGCCTCTCAATTTTTGGGTGGCCAGCAGCATTCAGCTGGAGTTATGGATCTCAGCATTCCTGAAAATCAAGTCCATGGGGTCTCAAATTGGTCACCCAAAATCAGAAACCACTTTTGAAAATTTTAACCTGAATTGCCCTGTATGAGTCCCTCACCACCTTTACTCCTTGAAAACTGGGGTTGGTAATTCTTGCCTCCTTCAAGAGGGTACTGTAAGGATTATAATAGCTGTAAAACTTTGACAGTGAAAGGAATTAGAAAAGTGCAAAATAGTATTGGTAACAAGAACAAACTTTACTCTCCTTCTTTCTTAAAACTTTTGTCTTGAAATGATTTAAAGTAATTGCTGTTGCTATTAAAAGGGTCTGTGCCATATTAGAATCTAACAGCATGTACTTTATCTTGTTTGTTGTATTGCTATTATGAAAGGATATCACTCTTGTATTCTCTGCCTTCTCATCTGTCTTGTTGTCCCTTAGGGTGGATGTCTTTTCTGTTTACTATTTTCTTAATAGCATTTTTCATGACCCATCAAGTGTCACCCCTTCAGTGAAGATGGAGGGGATGTGGTTTATTACTTTTTAAATGAGGTAGTGAGTGCACAGATATTATTAATTTCATTAGCTGTCCCCAGAATTTTTTTCACTGCAAAGGGATAAGTAGAATTGATCAGCCTCTTCCTAATGCTTTTTCTTATGATTATTTTTCATATAGTGCTGGTAGAGTGTAACCACTACAGCAGCACCAACAAAGTGCTTAGTACAGCAGAATATTATTTCAGCTACATATAACCTTGCTAAAGAGGGGAAGGAATAAATCACTGGTTTCTTTCCAGTTCTCTTTGATGCCAGGAAATTGTTTGTTAAATTGTATCTAGTATGTTTTGATTCTTTGTTTTCTATGGTAAAGTTTGGTACTAGATATGCAACTTTTGGAGCATTCTTCCTGATGATAAAGTTGCTATCTGCATGTCTTTTGTATAGAGTCTAACCCCCAAAAAAGTCTTTCATTTGTTTGAGTACAGACTGACCATTTCTTTTCAAATAGCAGAAATTAAAGCAACGTAAGACTTCTGTCCCAATCAATAAGTCATCTCCGATGAAGTGGAGTTGACCAGAACATTGCATCTTAAATAATGTTGGCTGTAAATTGTGTTCTAAAACAAATACACATGACCTAAGCTTAAATACAATTTTAAAACTTCTACTGTAAATTATTTTTATACTGAATGGAATTTGGCAAATCTGATTCCAAGTGTTTGTCTTTATGAACAGTAATAAGTGGATTTACTCCTGTGTCTATGATTATTTAAATTTAACCCTGAGTAGTGACAGTCAGCTTTTGAAATAGTAAAGGTTGTATTGGCATGTTGCTAAAAGCAGAGGAGCACCTAACTTGCATACATATTTACCTACCATACAAAATGCAAGTATTAGCCAGGAGTCAAATACGGGATATCAGAGCAGGTGGAGAAATTATATTCTTCAAAGGTCCATGTATTTGAGACACAAAATGAGACACACTCACAGTGTATTGTGAAGATGATCAAAATTACATCATGTATGCTCTGCTGAACTCCTGGGGCTTGGCTTCTCCCATTGGGTTCAGATACACCCATGGAGTCTGCTGGGCTCTTTGGGCTTAGTTCTTTCATGACTGTAGCAAAAAAGAAAAGTGGTAGTATCTCCTAAGCAGTATTCATTCATGACTCCAAAATGAGATGTCATTCACAGTAAATTGTACGGACCTTTGTAATGTGATTTTCTCTTTTCTTACATGCTCTGGTCAGTAGTGAAATAGTTAATGTTGACATTTAAGTTATCATCACTGAGTTTCAGAGTTAACATCTTAAGGTGAGCTGAGATCAGTTTACTTCTCAGATTCACTTTTTAAAAATTGAAAACTTAGATTCTGCACGCAAGATGGCATCTGAAGACTAGCGAATATATGCAGCATGCCACTTGACTTAGAACCCTAGTATTAAGTTAATTTTCCACACAGTTGGCCACCACTGATCTTTCTCATCCTCTGCCAACTTTACAGCATTTTCTGCTTCTCTCTCTCTCTCTCTCTCTTTTTCTCTCAAATTGAAGAACTGTGAGTTGGTGCTTGTAATTTTGTGGGGAGTGCTGGGAAGATTTTTGTCTGAGAGGAGTTGCTAGTTTGGTTGGTTGTTGAGATGTGTAAGGGTTTAGCAGTTGGAGGTACAAGTGTCAGGATTGTGGTATTTATCTCCGGGGAGCATGTAGGAATATTTGGCAACTAAGTTGGGGTTCTGGGTATCTCTATATTGTTACTAGAGAAGCACAGGAGAATCTTCCTCCTGGCTTCTAGAATGTGATGGGGAATTTTCCCTCTCCTGTCAGGTAACACAAACAGGGCTCTGTCCTCCTCAGTGAATCTTTCTTTTGTACCCCATCAGATCAATAAAGGGAGTTTCTCTAAGGTTCTTTTTTTCCTTGATGTGAGAAGTATATTACATTCACTTGTGCACCTGCTCTCTCGCGCTCATCCCCCCCACCCACCCCAGGGACCCACCCGCTTACCAAACATTAGGTCCATTGTGATAATAATCACATGTTCTTTCTGTTCCATCAGGAAGTTTAATTTGTACACTGCTGATCTGAAATTACAGGTATGCTCCCTGATGGATCAACCAGACTGAGGAATGTTGAAGAAAACATATCCCACAGTTTAGGAACCACTTTGTCTCCCCAACCTGTAAAATAAATCTTTTAAGGGCAACTTTGCAGACCACCTGTTGGTCATATGTGGAGAATAAAGGTTGCATTACAGAATTAATCCACTATATTTCTTTTGGTTGTATATAGGTAAATTAATTTTCCCCTTTGTTTAAGGAGATAGATATTATGTGGTTACTATTGGTTTATATTTGTTCACTGTAATCAAAGTTACCAGTTATCTTCTGACATTAAATCGTACAATGGAATTCCCTTTTTAGGAGTTCTCTGGAACTTGTCCTCATGTGATGCAGTAAAGATGACAATCATTCGAGATGCTCTATCAACGACTAACTAACACTGTGATAGTTCCACATTCTGGATGGAATAATTCTTCCTTTGACGATGATCATAAAATTAAATTCCAGACTTCTCTAGTTCTGCGCAATACTACAGGATGCCTGAGGTAAATCACCCTATTCAAGATCTCTGTTAACACAGTAATCAAGTTATACAACAATGTATTCAAATTCCTTTTAAATGGCAATTTCTTAAATAATATAGTTGTTACATCCTTTTTAACCCTTTTAGTTCTTCCTCGCATGCCAATTAGTAGGAAAAGAGCATAAACTTAGGAGCTCAGAGGTAATATTTTATGAATGTATTAATGCTGCTACTTGGTAAGGATTAAGCTTCTACTGTTTTTGTGCTCATAGCTAATCTTTTCCATATTAATCACCACTGTCTTGATACTGAAGGTACTGTCTATTAAACTTATTCTTTCAAACCTTGAATTAACTTGAGTAAAGCCATCTCTACAAAAATCATGTGATACTGTTCACATCACTAATAAGATTATATAAAATCTAAAACTTAATTTTGATGAAAAATAAATTTTAGAGGCATTTATTTTTAATGAAAAACCTAAGTAAGAAAACTAGGAGTGCTTTGTTAGATTGAATTTTTAAACATTACTGACAGCAAACAATGTATATAAATTAAATGGACACTATCAAGTTAAAAATTGTTCTATTGAATGAACTTTTTTTACCTGCTATTGTTACAAGTAATATCTGAGATTACTATAAATGAAAGCAATTAGAGACAAATATATTTTTTCTATTTTTTTTAATCCATTTATCTTCTGCATTTGACACTTTATGTATAGTCAGTTTCACTGTTTCCTCTCTTGTTTAAGTGGGTGTTTCAAACAGCAATAAGAAAAAAAAGCACTTTTAAAAATAGGAAAACATAAAACCACAAAAAATGACAGGGAATTCAGGGGCCATGTGCAGTACATGAGACTACTTTAAAAAAAATTATATTATCAACGGACTGTATAAAAAGATTTTCCTTCTGCAAATGATTTGATTAGACCATTACTTGTATATATGTATGACTCTGAATACCATACATAAATATACAGTATATTGATTGATATTCTTGCATTGCATTTTAACACTTTAGGAATCTAAGCTCTGCAGGAGAAGAGGCAAGGAAGCAGATGAGGTCTTGTGAAGGGCTGGTTGATTCTTTGCTATATGTGATCCATACATGTGTGAACACATCAGATTATGACAGCAAGGTGTGTGCTTATTTTAACTAAGTAATTTCTAGGTATCAGACTAGTTGTCTGATGTGCCGTTTTTGTTTTGGATAGTGCAAGTCAGCCACAAAACTCTTGAGCTCTTTTCCACCCCTACATTTATTTATGCACAAAATCAAATTCTGTTGTGGAACACAAATTTATTTATTCTGTGTGTTTAATTCTCACGATGAAGCACCCATTCTTTGGGGGGGGGAGGGGGAATAATAATTTGCACTTACCATGCTTTTTATCTTCAAAACTCTTTTTAATAAATGCTTAATTAATCCTCATACCACCCCTGTGAGGTAGACCCCTATTATCTCCAGTTTTATAGTTGAGAAAACAAGCAGAGAGACTATAATTTACCCAGAGCCATAGAGAGAGCCATTGTGAGACTGACAATTGGAATTTGGGAGTTCTTGTTCCCCAATCCTGTGCTCCAAAAATATTTTCACCTGTACTTGATTTGTTTTATATGCTGTTTCACCATTTGTGAAAGTATATTAATTACAGGATATCTCCATACTTTGGGTTCCAGACAGTGGAGAACTGTGTGTGCACACTGAGAAACTTGTCCTATCGCCTAGAATTGGAGGTACCTCAGGCACGTCTGCTGGGTATAAATGAATTGGATGACTTGTTAGGGAAAGAATCACCCAGCAAAGATTCAGAGCCAAGCTGCTGGGGGAAAAAAAAGAAGAAGAAAAAACGAACTTCACCAGAAGATCAGGTTTGTATTTTTCTTCTATTATAAAAACATCAAGTATTGTTTTTCCAATAGTAAAATACTGTGTCCAGGAGAAAACTGACCATACCCAGTAATATGGTGACTATATCCACTTTTTAAAATTATGATATAAACATTTGATTTCAATTTTGCTTAAACTAATATACTTACAGCTAACGTGTTTTTCTTTCTCAGTGGGATGGAGTTGGCCCTATACCGGGATTTTCAAAGTCTCCTAAGGGTGTGGAAATGCTGTGGCACCCATCTGTAGTAAAACCCTATCTAACACTTCTAGCAGAAAGCTCCAACCCAGCTACTTTAGAGGGCTCTGCAGGATCTCTCCAGAATCTTTCCGCAGGCAACTGGAAGGTATTGTATTAAACCCATCCCATAATCCTGTGGCAAATGAATTTCCACTTCTTCTACTACACTTGTACTTCAACTAAGTGTTCCCCTTTAACAACGTCATGACATCTGAGCAGGGTAGAATATGCCATTTCCTAAAGTGCATATCGTGTTTCTCCGTTAATCAGTGTTATTAGTGGTCCTACAGTGCACCCCTCCTGTGTTTCTCCATGAAACCCAAAGTCCTGAGATATGCTCAGTGGCTCCTCTGAGGTGGATATTTTCCTAAACTCACATTGAAGTCAATGGAAATGGAGGATCCTCAGCATCCTGCACCAAATGCATCACTTCCTTAAGACTTGCCTGCCCTCCGTTTAGCAAAGCAAAGGAAATGTCAAAGCATAAGCTAGAGTCAAGCACAGTGCATTCAGACACCCCGGCAGTTCCGTAATTCCTGTCTGAACACAGAACCAAACGTGCCAAATTTCAAGATGTCTTTGTGATGTGGGCACACATACTTGGAATTAAGATTAATTTAGGGAAATTCCATTCTTATTATTTTTTATTATCTTATTATTATTTTCATATCCTATTTGTTCTTGGTATTCTTTTGTCTAGAGAAACAACAACATACAGTTCAATATTTTGTATTTTTGTAGCCCTTTATGTTAAACACTTACAAAATAGTCTAATAATCACAACTGTTTTATGAAATAGATAAGCAAATACTATTGTCGTTTTACAGAAGTATAATCCGAGGGGGAGAGGTTAAACAATTTGTCGAAAACCACTTATGGTGTTAATGGCAGACCTGGGTCTGGCATTCAGGAGCTCAAGATTGCTGGGCGTTGGCTTAAATCTCCAACTGTACCACAGCCATTATTTCATTAATAGTATTTGTAGTTGTCATAATGTAAAGTTCTTCTGGTTTTCATTTTTAAATAAATTTACAAATAAAGTATGTGAGGGGAAAAACATTGGTAAAGGTGAGAAAGAGAAAACTTTATACACTTCTCTTGGTCTCAATTTCCTTACAGTCCTCTCCATTCCACTCCTTTTCACTTTCATAGTGAAAGGCAATGAAGAGCTAGCAGCAGAAAATGGGTGGCTTATTGGGAATGGCATTAAAATCAGTTACCACTATTTAGAAAAAAAAATGAAAACTTGTAGGTTTTTCCCACTGAATATGTGTGCCAAAAAAACTTTGAACACTGAATTGTGGTGGAAAATGACTGCCAAAAAGACCAAAGCCAACTAAAAAATGTACAAAATAATAGATGCAAGTACCACCTCTTCCCAAGTATCAGAACATGGGTATTACAGTAAATGATGGTAGTTGATACCTAATTGGTTATTAACAAGAGCAGGGCATAATTTTTATTATTTGCTGCTATATTCCAATTGTGCACTCCTGCTTCTGGCCCTTATGTATGGTGCATTGCAAAGGCACCACATGACATCTCTTTTTAATCACTTTTATGTATTTGTCATAGAAATAAAAATATTCATTGCTTTCTTTGCTATACAAAAATAGCTGACAGATATCATTTGGGATTTTCAAGCTTTTGTGACTGACATTTTTAATCAATCTTTTTCCTGAAATACTATTCCCTCTCTAATAGATTTAACCTCCTTTGTCAGTACATTTCTTTTATTAATTCATATATTTAAACATTCTTCTACAAGGAGAACAATTTCAGTGGCACAGAGGCCTAACTCCCAGTGCCAAGTAATGGGAACTGGGCACCCACTTCTTGTGTCTGCCTTTGGAACTTTCCCACTAAAACATGTATGAATTGTAATACAGTAAAAGATAATATTGGTGCTGTTTTAATATGGTAGGTGTGTAAGTAATTGAGTTTTGTGTAATAGTTTGCAGCATATATTCGAGCTGCTGTCAGAAAAGAAAAAGGGCTTCCAATCCTTGTGGAACTTCTGAGAATGGATAATGATAGAGTTGTTTCTTCTGTGGCAACTGCCTTAAGGAATATGGCTTTAGATGTTCGCAATAAGGAGCTTATTGGTAAGTATATGTAACTATACTTAAGTATGCAGGGATAGCAGCACAACGCAATCCTTCCTTCAGTGCTTGAAGAAAACTTATTTTAGGATGAGAATACACCATGTGAGCTAGTTGTGTATCAATCATATCACATCATTAGAGTCACATACATTTTAATCTTCTTGGCAGAAATAGCTTTTTGGAGCAACATTGTCTTATTTGTTTGTCTTTAGTCAACCTGTGCAGCCAGTCCCCTTACAGCAAAAAGAAGTTGCTTGAATTCAAACTGAATCATACAAGAAGTTTCATTGTAAAACATGATGAGAAATACCACTCCCCTTTCTTGACGCTAACTAGTAAGCTTCTCAAAGGGCTACTGGATCCTGTATCATAAAGGGATTTAACAGTTCAGGTCTCAACACACAAATAAATGCTTTATTCTGACAATATCAGATTTGTTTTGTTTTGTTTTGTTTCTCCTGCCATAATAAGTGTTTCCACCAGAAACCAGCTCCAAGTCTAAGTATACATATATATGTAATTGACAGGGCTGTTCTTCTAGAGTTAATTCATTAATTATTTCCCTTTTCTAAACTAATGATGAACTCTCTTCACCTCCAACCTGTGCCTTTCTCATCTTATATACTTTTCTGCTGAAATATAAGCACTTATCCTGCCCTAGATACGAAACCTTGCAATACCAATCACGGGAAGTGGAACAGCATATGCTGCAATGCCTCACCCTTGACTGTTCTAGTCTAAATTAACTCTATCAACATTTGTCATGATGCAGAAAATCTTAATTTTTGAACAGGAAAAAATGTCTTTCTGGCTTTGTTTTTAGACTAGTGTGGTAATTAGGCCAGTGTTACTTGTACAAATAGAGGTACAGTTCATGCTCAGAAATGTAAATGCTACTGCAAGTACAGTTTTATAATAATTTTATTTATAAAGCTTCTCCATCCTGAGTAGTCTGGGTGATGTGCAATAATTTTATGATCATAAAAATGATCTTGCCAACTATAGATCAATACTCACTGCTTTGTGATTTAGGTAAAGATTATTGAGGAAGATGTTGGTGAAGCAGCTTTGGTAATATTAACAGTCTTCAGATTCATAGATCAGTCTAGGGGTCTATGTATATCCAGGCATGGGATGGAAACTACAATAGCTGCATTGGTCAGTGATCTTCTGTTGGTGAACAAATAGAGTTTGTGTTGATTTTATTAGACCTATACATTGTCTTCAGTCAAATATAGTTGATCATACTATACAGCTGATCATAAGGCATTAACAGGCTCTAAGTTTTGGCAGGAGTAGATGGGAGCCCCTTTTAAGTGTTTTTACTCCTTTTTACATTGGAGCACCAGCAGGTGGTTGTGGGCTATCATTTATGCACCCTGAGACTGGAGGTAAGGCAGGGTTCTATTCTTTCCCCTCTCTTTCTCAATTTCTATGAGGCGAACAAGGCAGTAAAAAGATGGGTGCTACAGTGTCTGCAGCATCCTGATAATACCCAGCTGGACCTCTCTAAATGTATGAAAGAGAGATACTGGCAAAGTATTTTTCCTGAGGCTGCTCAACTCTGGAATGGGCCCTCTCTTCTGTCTACCAGAGCCTGGATTTGTTAAGCCTCAAGACATGCTGCAAAACCGATCTAGTTTTCCACAGAAATTTGAGAAGGGGTGGAATTATTGATTGGTATGTGATAATTGTTTTTGTGTAGTTTTGACTATGATAGTGGGGTTAGTGGCAATGGAGGGTACATCTATACTGCAAAAAAAGACCTGTGGCCCAAGTCTCAGAGCTCAGGTTAACTGACTGAGGCTTATGTGGCTCACACAATGGGCTAAAAGCAGCAATGTAGATTGACAGACTTGGACTGGAGCCGGGGCTCTGAGACCCGCCTTTCTTGCCAGGTCTCAGAGTTCAGGCTCAAGCCTAAACATTTAGTCTGCTATTTTTGGCCCCATAGCACAAGCCCGAATCAGATGACCTGGGCTCTGAGACTCGCTGCCACGGATCTTTTTTGAAAAATAGACATACCCAGATTTAACTGGACTAATATAATTATTCTACTGGGAATTTTAAGTCTTGTATGTAGACCCCAGAGTTTGATTTTTTTTCCAATCTAAATAAATAAAATCAAAATAACATTAGAAATACAGAGAGGGTTACAATTTTTGTTTCTGGAATTTTGCAATATACTTTTGCCAACTTTGTCTTACGTAACTCTGCATTTCCTAAATTTGTATGTGAAGAAATATTTAACAAAAATGAGGTTTGGCATGTTTTTGCTCTGAAAAACATATTTGCAAAAATTAATTAAGTTTCAATTTAAAATAGACCTGTTGTGGTTGGAAAATGTGTGTACCTAATGTTTTGCACATATCTACAAACAATATAATAATCAAAATCTTCCAAAAAGTAGATAGATAAGATAAACAGATGAAAGATCCAACCAAGGAAAGAGGAGAAAGTGTCTAATTATGGAAATAATAAAGTTTTATATATAGGTGGTTGGTTTTTTTTTTTTAAATAAAAGCCTTGAGGAAAAATCTGTTTGTTTTTAAATGTGGAGATATAAACACTCTAGCAAATGTCAAGGTAGATTGAATTCCACACCCTAGCAGGTACTACACCAAAGGTGCCACCACTTCACCTTTTGGTTAGCTCCCTCAAAGGCAGGTGGAGTCACAGTATCAATATATTCCAGGTTGTCTGGTTTTAAAAAATATTGCAGTTTTCTAGTATGCTTAAAAAGAAGTTACTTTCAGTAGCATTTCTTTTGTGGTTAAGGATCAGAATTTCTCCCCTGACACATTATGCAAACACAAAGTTAATACCTGTATGTACAATTTATCCCATTATTCACCATTATATATAAATATATGTCTTCAATAAAAATAATATTTACTTTAGCTTTAGTTAATTTCCTTTGTTTGCAAAGTGATTATTCCTGTTTGTCAGTTGGTAATTGAAATCTGAAAGAGCTGAGATCTAATCTTTTATGGGTGATAAATGAGGTGAACAGAATGTCTGGTAATACCTCCAAAACTACAGAAAGGCTTCTGCACACCTCTCTAAAAGGAAATCTCAGTATGAGCCCACTGCTCCCCCAGTGATGAGAAATAATGTCATTTTTCCTGTAGCAATTCCACTTCTGATCAATAATTCCTATTTCTAAACTATCCAGTATTAAGGCCAAGTTGTGCCTTCTATCCCACTTTATTTAGCCAAATTCTTTATTGCATCTCTTCCTATATGGATGCGTTAACAGATAGTGTACATAAACATTGTTAAACAGTTTCATTTGTGCTATTTTCTGGTCAAGTGGTGGTTTGTGTCCATCTAAAGGCATAAAGAGTTTCAAATAATCATAGTATCTGTCAGCAACTAAGGTACGACTTGAATTAGGGGAAAGGGTAAGTGATAGCAAGTTCCAACATTTTCTCAACCTTTTATTCCTTTATTCAACTTTTTTTTAAACTATCACAATCAGAAACAATGAAATGTGATCATGCAATAATCACCTATCAATTCAAGTCCTGTCTAAAGAAGACTGGAATATGCACAAGTGTAACGTCTTACACATTTCTATAAAATTTAAGTTGTTTGAAAGATGCTTAAGTAATCTTTTTGTAACATTGCTTCTCTCTTGCTATAAAACAACTCTGCTAAACATCCTTAACTAAAATAAATAAGCTCACAGATCAGTGTATGTCTGTGTACATTGGCACATGGCCATAATATTTTTTATCAGTCTTTTCCTAATCCAGAAGAAAAACGCAATGTATTTTTCATTTAGCAAATTACATTACAGTGTCTCTTGCCTCTGTGTGCAATCTGAATTATTTCAGTTTTCCACTTAGTGTTGATTTTTTATTCTACTTTCCTCATTGTTGCTTTTAGACATATATTTCTTGTCAGAGTGCTTATGTTTCAAATGTAAATTGCAAAGTGCATTTCCTAACTTGGTTTATGGATTTTTGTAGGTAAATACGCTATGCGAGATCTGGTGAATCGCCTTCCAGGAGGCAATGGCCCAAGCATATTGTCTGATGAGACTGTAGCAGCAATCTGCTGTGCTTTGCATGAGGTCACCAGTAAAAACATGGAAAATGCCAAAGCTTTGGCTGACACAGGAGGAATAGAAAAACTGGTGAACATAACAAAAGGAAGGGGTGACAGGCAAGTGGGCAGCTAGATTTGGAAGCAAAATGTTTCTATCATCCATTTCAGATAAAAACAAGAAAACAAAACTTGTAAAGTGAATTTCATGCAGAAAAAGGATTTGTTCCTTCGGTTCAGGTTTGCTGATAAGACAAGCAGTCTCCCACAGCTGCAAACTGTATTATTTCCATATAGTACTTGCCAATCATTTACATTGTACAGCATTCTCCATATAAAGCTTGTAGGGGCTGTACGGTAAGTAATATACTGTAGTCAGATTCATTGGACCTATAAAAGTATCTGAAAATGATGTTATGAATATTAAACACACACACAAAAGTTAATAGAACATTGTTAAGATTTGAAAAGTCAGGCAAGTCGAAGTTAGGAAATGCCAGAATTAAGATTGCCTGTGGAACCCTAATCTGGCCCCCTTGTGCATAACATTATGATAAAGTATTTAATTATATATGATCACATATTATTTTTTCCATAGGACCTCTGTCTCAATCCATGCACAGCAAGGAGGTTGCTCACTTAATGAGCAGCTCCTCAATATTTTGTTTTCTCCTCATTGTTCAGCGTTTGGTCCTAGGGTCCTAGGTCTTACTGCACACTACCCAAATCCTGTTCTGAAAAAAAAATTCTTAATTTCTTCATGGGCTTTTCTATGGTGCTCATCACTGTAATATCTGAGTGCTTCCCAGTCATTAATTAATTTTATTTTCATAATAACCCTGTGAGATGAGAAGGTATTATCCTCTTTTTACAGCTGAGGACCTAAGGCACAGCGAGATTAAGGTCAACAGTATCCACTAATTTTGGATGCCCAATATGAGATGCTTACAGCCTAATTATTCAGAGTACTTACGATTACATAGCATTTTATATGCTCAAAGCCCAGCTCCCATTACCTTTAGTTGCAGTTGTGAGTACTCAGTACATCAGTAAATTAGACTCCAGGGGTATCAAGTTGGGCAGCCAGAAAATGAGGGGTGCCTAAGTAATGACCACCTGTGAAAAGTGTGAATGAAATGATCTGACTAGTATCACATGGAAACTATGTGGTAGAGGGAGTGATAAAATCCAATTCTTCAGGGCAGCATTCAGCTTCTATTACCATGAGGCCCTCCTGTCTGTTGTAGCAGTCTCCTGCCTCATTCATGACACCCCTTCCAATTTGTGCAACAAATGATGCAGGGATCCTAAAGACAAGAGCCTCCTTTACCATACCACCCTGATTTATTTCCAGAGAAGGTCCATCCTGCGCACTGAATGACCAGCATTAGATGGGTATGGGACATTTTGCCCATAGGTTTCATATATATTTGCTGAAAGCAGAGGAATGGTGAAGCTCATAGATCTTGGTTTCCATTCCAGGCTGCGGAGGAGACAGTGATCTAATGGGCACAGACACTACCATTTCCTCCAAGCTTGACCCCTTCTGCCCCATCCTCTCCAACCTTTCCTGATCTTGTCTCTACCTAACCATTAGCTCCATGCCCTGTCCCAGTCCCCTTGCCTATCCATTCCCATGGCTTCTTATCCCAGCCCCAATCTCATTGACCAGTCAGTCCCTGTTCCCTACTCCTGGCTTCTTGTCCAGTCTATGGCTCACATTCCTCCTTCCTCCACACTGACACCCAATCCCAATCTGTCTGCCCAGGTTTCTCGTCCAATTTCAGTCTCCTGGCTCCTTATCCCAGTCTCTTTGAGCAGTCAGTCACAGTTCTCTACCCCTGAACCTCAGCTGCTTCTTCTTCAAGTAGATGCAGCTCTGTATTCCACTTAGGTGTGTGTGCACCAGAGCCATAAATTTTACCTAGCAGAATCCATAGAGGGGAGGCGCTCATGCCTTGTGCCGTAGCACCTCCTTTACCTATATGAGGCAATGTCACCTTGACCTCCCTCTGTTCTTTCTTCCGCCCCAGCTGGAGTCAGAGTTCTGTGTGATTTTTCACCTCGCAAACCCTCTATTTTTAGTGACTTTTCTAGTTGTATATAGTTAATTAGTACCCTTAGTATAGCTTACACCCAGATGGTCCAGTAGCAAAGATGCACCTTCATCCCTCTCCAAATGTGGCTCAGGATGGTTTACCATCCAACTCTTCACCCCCTAGACAGATTGGTTCATCTTTCTTAACTGGTCCTGGACTCCTTGCAGTGGTGGATGTGTCCAGAGAATGTTTGCCAGGGCATTCCCTCTGGCCCTTGTGAACCAGGTCTGCTGTCACTGATGCCTCCCTGATGGGCAGCACACCTGGGGTTGCTGAAAGTTCAAGGTCTGTGGTTGGAGCAGGAGTCCTTATCAATTTGCTGGAGCTTCAGGTCTTCTACAATGCATGTCATGCTTTTCTGGACCGTATCGGGCTCAATGGTTCACATACTTACAACGATACCACCACAATGCATTACGTGAACAAGCAAGGGGGAATGTGTTCCAGGATTCTGTCCCAAGAGGCAATCAGATTGTGGCAGTTCTGCATCAAGGAGAGTGTGATGGGGCAGCTGCCCCTCACTGGTAGGGGTTAAAAGCAGCCCTAGGGAGGCTGCACTGGAGGCAGCCAATTAGGGAAGGATTGACAGGAGCAGCCAACAGCCCCATATAAAAAGGGAGCTGCAGGGCAGAGGCTGGCAGTTCTCTGCTGGGAGCCCAGGGAGAAAGGATTGTGTCTCTGGAGGGCTGAGAGAACTGCCAGCACCCTGGACAGAGCAGGGCTGCTAGTAGGGACCGGGGGGAGCGAGAAAGCTCCTGGCTGGTTGCTGAGGCCCTGAGGCAAGGTCAAAGAGGATGCTGGGGCATGAGGAAGTGGCCAGACAATTCACTGCAGTAGCCCCTAAGGGAAATGGCTGAACAGTGGACTGCAGGTCCCGGAAGTGGGGAGCACAGTATGTGTCGCAGAAGAGGACGCTGCATTCCTTGGAGAGACATGGGTCCTAAACCAGGAGTGATAGCAGCAAGGCACCACCCAAAGAGGGCGCATTAACATGCAGAGCTAATTCCCAAGACAGCCAGCAGGTGGTGCTACAGTGGTGAGTGAAGCCCTTTACAGAGAGCACTAACCAATAGCTGACCAATTGCCCAGAGTCCTGAATCATCTCGTAGACCATCTGAGCAGGAATTTTTCCCTAATGGTCTCTGAAGAGAAGTGTCCTCTGGGTCAGCTTCATAGCGTGGGCATTCCGACAATCGACCTGTTTGCTACAAGGGACAACAGGAAACGTCACCTGTTTTGCTCTCAAGAGGCCTCAGTCTGGGCTCCCTGTCTGATGCTTTCCATCTCAGCTGGCATTTGGCTTGCCTGTATGCTTTTCCCCAAAACCCGATCATCCCACAGATCATCCTCAAGCTGAAAGCAGATTGGACCAAGCTCATTCTCATTGTCCCAACATGGCTGGTTCTCTGACTTTCCCGCATTGTCAGTTCAGTCTCCCATACCCCATCCTCTCCATCCTGACCTGCTCACAAAGAATCACAGTCACACATTGCATTCAGTCCCCTACATCTCACGGGGTAGCTTCGTGGCTAAATGAGGAGGAAGAGCAGAGTTTGGTGACAGCTGAACAGGCCCTACTCAACAATAGAAAGTTTTCTACCAGAATGGCCTATTCAGCTAAAAGGAAGCTGTTTTCAGTGTGGTCATTGGCTCACAGAATTCAACCAACACTAGCTTCTATCCATGACATCTTGGGGTATCTGCTGCAACTTCAGTCATTGGGACTTGCGCTTAGCTCACTGAAAGTGCATCTGAGGGGGGTTGGGGCAGCAATGCCTTCTATAGCCAGGGGAGGCTACAGCCTCAAGGTGCGAGCGATCCCCCTCTACGGATACTGCTAGGCAAAATTGTCACTCATTGCACTGGGCCATGCACACACCTAAGTGGAATTCACGTCTGCATCACACCTCAAAGAACCGCAGTTAAGTAACCGTTTCTTGTCAGATCTGTCTCCTCTCTTCCCTGCCCCGTTCTTCACCCCTACTGGTCCCTAGTCTCAGCCTCTTTGCCCAGCTAATCTGTGTTTTTTCACTCCACCATCCCAGCACTAAGTCATGGTTTCTCTCTCCCATCCCCCTCTAGTCACTCTGTGGGGATGGTGCATGCACAGTCCTGTCAGCAGTAGAAGCTATGAGGGGATGGAGCATGCTCAGTGAAGATGAAATCTTTGGGGAATTTAGCTGCTAAAATCTAAGTCTCTACTGAGAATGTGGGAACTGCGATTTGTTTTGGTTTTTTTTTTTTTTTTTTTTTTTAAGTTTTATAACTTGGTTAAACTGGAGTAGATTTTTACAGGGACAGCAAAAGGCATATCCCTGATACAAAGGCTACCCCCTGGGCATATCCCTGATACAAAGGCTACCCCCTGCCGATGTTCAAGTTCCTGCTCCGATGCATGGGGGCGCTATTGCTTGTCCTAGAAAAAGTCCCCAGAATTTTTTAACGTGGCAAAAGTGTATTTTTTTTCCTTGCCTTGTTCCTGGAAACTGCTGAAACTTCTAAATAAATAAATAGCCTGAGGCAGATAGCTGACACAGAACATTTCAGCCCAAATGGTAAAGTGTGGCAAAGTTATAAGAAACTGAAAACAGGATCTTATAATGGGAAGAGACAGGCAATGTTATTACTAGCTACCAGCCCTGCCTACAATAATCTTTATATTTGTATAGGATGATTGCTTTAAAGGCAGAAGTGTAAATGATTTATTATGATATATTTGAATGTTATTTTATGTAACATATGCTTTCATGAAGTGTGCTGGATTGACAGCCCCGGAGAGAGAAGTTTATTCACAAACACGTACACCACAGACACTAGCAGTCCTGACTACCCCATAGGGTATGTCTACACAACAAAGAAAAACCCCCAGCTGGCCCATGCCAGCTGGATCAGGCTCGGGCTGTGGGGCTGTTTCATTGCCATGTAGACTTCCGGGCTCGGGCTGGAGCCTGAGCTCTGGAACCTAGAAGTTTACAAAACAATGAAACAGCCCCACTGCCTAAGCCTCACGAGCCCAAGCCAGCCACTGCTTTTTTGTGTGTGTGTTGTAGACATACCCATACTGCTTTTTCATGTGTTTCAAGGCTCACCTGAAGGGATCACTTCTAGTGTCAAGCTGTGTCTTACAGTCCTATACAGCCTCTTTGCTGAGATTGCCAATATGACTGTTAGTTGCAGTAGTGGAATTTTTGTGACATGGTAATCTGTTCACTGGGCCTTAGGCTGAGACTACCCAGCCCATTTCACATAGTGTTTCAAGCTGTAATGCGTACATGCACTTTCTTTACAAGAGTCAATCCTGTATAATAATAGAATATTCTTTATCTTCTTAGATCATCACTTAAAGTGGTCAAGGCAGCAGCTCAGGTATTGAATACATTATGGCAATACCGAGACCTCCGTAGCATTTATAAAAAGGTAAATTACAAGTATGGTTCTGACAAAATTAGCATTCATCTGGAAACAGCTTCACAATGATTCTGAACCATTTATTTTAATGAAATGTAATTCATTTTGACATACTCCTTTTCCCACTCCACAGGATGGATGGAATCAGAATCATTTTATTACACCAGTATCAACATTGGAACGAGACAGATTCAAATCACATCCTTCCTTGTCTACAACAAATCAGCAAATGTCACCTATCATTCAGTCAGGTCAGTTAATATCCCTCTTTGTGGACAGGTTGCCTGAAGGGCTTTTCCATTTGAGGGGGATCTAGTATGTCTCTTTTAGAACTTCAGGGTATCTTTGAATGTGTCTACCTTACTTTCAGTGATATTACAGTTTTTAGCCCTTAGATTACTTATCAGTCTTGCTTTTCAGACCAGTGCATTGGAATTAAGGGTTTTCTTTTATATTTTGTTACAAAACAAAACACAGTATGATTTATGCATATAATATTTATATACTATAATAATACTTCCTTCAAAGTGTTTGTTGTTAGGAGACATGAATCCCAGTTATTAGGAAGAGACTGGTTATAGTAATGGGAGATTTGATCATAAGAAATATAGATAGCTGGGTATCTGATGACCAGGAGAACCGCTTAGTGAATTACCTGCCAAATGTGAAGGTTGTGGATCTCTCAAGACATCTAGACAGGCATATGTGCAGTGCTGGGGAGGAGAGATTCTGGAGGCCAAATTTAGGCTGCTAGATAAGACATTGAAGTCCAGGACCTACACGGTAGCATTCTCTGAAATGCTTCCAGTTCCACACACAGAGCCAGTTAGACAGGCAGAACAGCAGGGTCTCAATGCATAGATGTAACAAGGATATAGGGAGAAGGGGTTTAGGTTTATTAGTATCTGGGAAACCTTTTCGTGAAGGAGGAGCCTATACTGGAAAGATGGGCTCTACCTAAACCAAAGCAGAAGCCAGATTGCTGGCATGTAAAATTAAAAAGGGTCCTAGAGGAGTTTTTAAACTAAGGGGCTGGTGGAAAGCCGATAGATGCAGAGGAGCACACAGTTCGGACAGAAACATCCCGTAGGGGAGGGTCTATTAATGGGGATAGTCTATGTTGATAAAGTACAGGGAGGAACTGAAGAGAAACAATCAAATGAAAAAGTCCCCATTCAATTGCATCACATAATGGTAGGCAGCTAAAAAGTGACAAATTTTATAAGTGCTTGTGTACAAATGCAAAAAGTCTAAATATTAAGATGGGTAAACTTGAATGCCTAGTATTAAATGAGGATATTGATATAATAGGCATCACAGAAACAGTGGAACAACAATAATCAATGGGACACAGTAATACCAGTGTGCAAAATATATAGGAATGACAGAGTAGATCATGCTGATGGTGGAGTGGCACTATATGTAAACAAAAGTATGGAGTCCAATATAGTAAAAAATCTTAAATGAATCAAATGGTACAATAGAATCTCTATGGATAGAAATTTAATGCTTAAATAACAAAGAGTATAGCAGTAGGAATATAGCATTTGACCACCTGACTAGGCTGGTGATGATGATTGTGAATTCTCCAGATTAGAGAGGCTACAAAAATAGAAAACTCAATAATAATGGGGGATTTCAACTATCCCTGTATTGACTGGGTAGATGTCACCTCAGGACAGAATGCTGAGATAAAGTTTCAAGACAGCATTAATTACTGCTGCTTGGAGTAGCTAGTCCTGGAACCCGCAAGGGGAGATTTAGTCCTGAGTGGAGCACGGGATCTGGTCCAAGAGGTGCATATAGCTGAACTGCTCAGTAGTAGCAACCATAATGTAATTAAATATGACATCCTTGTGGGAGGGAAAATCCCAAAGAACCCCTCAGTAGCATTTACCTTCAGACAGGGGAACTACACAAAAATGAGGAAGCTAGTCAAATGGAAATTAAAAGGTACAGTCACAAGAGTGAAATGCCTGCAAGCCGAGTGGAAACAGCATAACAGAGGCTCATGTTAAATGTATACCCCAAATTAAAAAATATAGTAAGAGGACCAAAAAAGTGCCACCATGGCTAAACATCCCAGTAAAAGAAGCGGTTAAAGGCAAACAGAGCATTTAAAAATCGGAAGTTAAATTCTGCTGAGGAAAATAAAGGAGCATAAATTCTGGCAAGTCAAGCGTAAAAGTATAATTAGGTAAGTCAAAAAAGAATTTGAAGAGCAACTAGCAAAAGACACAAAAATGTTTTTAAGTACCTCAGAAGCAGGAAGCCTGCTAAACAATCATTGAGGCCACTGGACAATCAAGGTGCTAAAGTAGCACTCAAGGAACACAAGGCCATTGCAGAGAAGCTAAATGATTTCTTTGCATTGGTCCTCGTTGCAGAGGATGTGAGGGAGATTCCTACACCTGAGCTAATCTTTTTGTGTAGCAAATCTATGGAACTATCCCAGATAGAGGTGTCATTAGAGGAGGTTTTTGACCAAATTGATAAACAGTAATAAGTCACCCAGACCAGATGGTATTCCCCCAAGAGTTCTGAAAGCACTCAGATATGAAGTTGCAGAACTACTAACAGTGGTATGTAACCTATTACTTAAATCAGCTTCTGTGCCAGATGACTGGAGGATAATTAATTTGACGCAAATTTTTAAAAAGGTTCCAGAAGCAATCCTAGCAATTACAGGCCAGTAAGCCTAACTTCAGTACCAGGCAAATTGGTTGACATTACAGTAAAGAACAAAATTACCAAACACATAAATGAACACAATTTGTTGGGGAAGAGTCCACACAGCTTTTGTAAAGGGAAATCAAGCCTTACCAATCTGTTAGAATTTTTGAAGGGGTCAACAAACATGTACACAGGGATATAATGTACTTTGACTTTCAGAAAGCCTTTGACAAGGTCCCTCACCAAAGGCTCTTAAGCAAAGAAAGCAGTCATGGTATAAGAAGGAAGGTCCTCTCATGACAGGAAATGGTAGGAATAAATGGTCAGTTTTTAGAATGTAGAGAGGTAAATAGCGGTGTTCCCCAAGGATCTGTATGGAACCAGTGCTGTTCAACATTTTCATCAATGATCTGGAAAAAGGGGTAAATAGTGAGGTGGCAAAATTCGCAGACGACATAAAATTACTCTGGATAGTTAAGTCCAAAGCAGATTGCAAGGAGTAAAAGGCTCTCACAAAACTGGGTGACTGTGAAACAAAATGGCTGATGAAATTCAGTGTTGATAAATGCAAAGTAATGCACATTGGAAAACATAATTCCAATTATACATGCAAACTGATGGGGTCTAAATTAGCTGTTACCACTCAAGAAAGAGTTCTTGGAGTCATTGTGGATAGTTCTCTGAAAACATGCGCTCAATATGCAGCAGCAGTCAAAAAAAAAATCTAAAAATGTTAGGAACCATTAGGGAAGAGATAGATAAGATAGAAAATATCATAGTGCCACTATACAAATTCTTGGTACACCCACACCTTGAATACTGCATGCAGATGTGGTCACCCCATCTCAAAAAAGATATATTGAAATTGGAAAAGGTTCAGAAAAGGGCAACAAAAATTATTAGGAGTATGGAACAACTTCCATATGAGGAGCGATTAATAGGACTGGGACTTTTCAACTTGGAAAAAAGGGGGCATATGATAGAGGTCTACAAAATCATGAATGGTGTGGAGAAAGTTAATAAGTATTTTTTACCCCTTCACATAACACAAGAATCAGAGGTCACCCAATGATATTAATAATGGGTAGCAGGTTTAAAGCAAACAAAAGGAAGTACTTCTTCACACAACGCACAATCAACCTGTGGAATTCATTGCCAGGAGATGTTGTGAAGGCCAAAAGTATAACTGGTTTAAAAAAAAATAGATAAGTTCCTGGAGTATCGGTCCATCAATGGCTATTAGCCAAGATGATATGGGATGCAACCCCATGCTCTGGGTGTTCTAAGCACCTAACTGCCAGAAGCTGATAATTGCCCTGTTCTCTTGATTCCCTCTGAAGCATCTGGCATTGGCCACAGACAGAAGATAGGATACTGGGCTAGATGCACCATTGTTCTGATGAAGTGTGGTCGTTCAGTGTTCTCATGATTCTTGGGTTGTTGAAGACATTTGGCCTCACTTGTACCAGACAATATTTTTTAGAGTGGTGATGATTCTGTAACCAAAGTCATTGTCATATCTCCAGCTATCACTCTCATTTCCCTAAGGTTTTTTCAGACACTGATGCTCTTTCTTTCTCTTACCTCCTTTTCATCAGTTGGCAGCACATCTTCATCGCCAGCACTGTTAGGAATTAGAGAACCTCGTTCTGAATACAATAGGACACAACCTTCTATGCAGTATTACAATAGCCAAGGTGATGTCATTACGCATAAAGACACATATACTGGTAAGAGACCAGTTAGATTTACTCTAAACAAAATGCTTCTAAAATACTCTTTCGGCCTGGGACAATGTATTGTGTGCAGTTAAAAACTAGTGATTGGACTATTTTTGTTGCGTTCCTCAGCAGCAACAAAATTGTCTTGAACAATAATGCTATGTCAGTTGTTCACCATTGATTCCTTGAGCAAATCACTTTCCTCCCAGATATGACCGTTTTATACTGTTGTTTTGCATTTGTTGTTTTAAAAACAATGCATCAATGTAATAAAATTTGAAGCCAACTTAAATATTGTGCTGCAAAGGAATTTGTGTAAGTAAAAACTGGCATGTATCTTGACATCTCAGCTGCCCTGAGATTCAGTTACTTATGCTTCTGCACTTTTTACATTGTTTTTGTGTTCATTTTTATTTATTAATTTTACTGTGTGTGTGTCAGAATGGGGTTTTTGTTTCGGTTATTTTTTGCTGTTTCTCTTAGAAATGCCCAATTTACCCGAAAAAGAAGAGATCAGGTTACATATTTGTCTTTAAAAATGTGGGAAGGTTGTGGTTCAGTGAATAACAACACATGTGGGGCTTACCATTTAAAAGTGATCTTTGATTATACCAAACTGAACATTTATAATCAAACCATGTTGTTGAATATTTATTTTTATTTTATGTCTTTATTCATAAATATTAGGGGGGAAATATGCCAAGACTTCATATTCTCCCTGATCTCAACTGTCTTAAATATTATTATGCTCGCCAAGTAAGGCAGAGTAAACAGGGAAAAACACAAATTCCTTATTTAAAAAGCTGGTTTATTAAACAACAACAACAAAATCCTGAGGCAATTTAACTGCTGCTGAGGGACAGATCTCATTTGTGCTGTTGTCTTTTAAGCTGTGATTTCACACTACTGTTTACTAATGATGTATGGTTACTATGGCAGTAAATGGGTGTTTTACATCAGGAATGCTACATTGCAAATACAATGTTCTTTTCTAAGAAAATGCCTGTTAAAACATATATTGTGAGATTTATTTGTCCGACTGGCATTGTTGTAAAGTAACAGTTTTTGCATAGACGCATCACATTAACTTTTTTTTTTTTTGGTTTTGTTTGTTTTTCGGCCAACAATAAACTAATTTGTTATAGGTATGGGGTTTGTTCCTTTTGAGGTAGATGATAGATGGCATATCACCATTTTACATAAGGGGAATCTAAGGTGAAAGCTAATCGTCAGGTAATTTGATCAAAGCAACAGGTAGAGTTGATGGCAGAGCAAAGATTAGAATTGAGGAATTTGTGGTTTCCAGTCTATCTGGAGCTCAAAACATCCTGCTCGCACTTAACTTATTGTAGCCCACACTAACACCATGATGTTTTGTTCCCTGTAATGGCTAAAACATATATAAAGGATTATGTGAGTCTTTTCCTGCCTTTAGATAATTACCTGATCTTTTAGTTCAGGCAGTAAAGGCTCATGCTTTACAATCCAGAAGTCCTAAGTACAAGCCCTCAGAGTACATATCCAGGGGAAGTCATTTTACTGCCAATGTTCAGTTACTACTCCCCTTTATGATGATTCATTTTTGATTTTCACCAAGGGTAATGATTTTGCCCTCTAGTGGCAACACCCTAGGAAGAAGATTAAGGTTCTACTGCTGCTGACAGCTAATGGAGATTCTCTTTTACCCCAACTAGTAAATCTTCTACTTTTGGACCCATAAATCTTGTTTCAGTTCCAAGCTGGGATAGATTCCTCACTCTAAGTTATTTATAGATATAAACGGAGGGCAGAAAATACTCATGCTTCACCTATCTCTGTGGTCAGGTGCCTACTCTCTCTTCACCTCAGACTTACTGAAGAAAACCTATTAAAATAACCACAGAAAACAAAAACATTTCCCAACTGTAACTTTAAATATGTTCCAATGGACTCTGCCTTCATGTTCAGCATAAGGAAAACCTCAATCCCAGTGCCATGGAAATAAATTAGAAGGAAAGGTTGTAGATTTTATTTAAAAAAACAAAACACAATAATATGCAAGGTGCATATTTTAGCCACTGTCATTAATACTTTAGATGTCATGACAGTAGTGACACTATCTTGATATAGTAGACCATGTCAGGCCCTTATAAAACAATTCCACTGATTTCAACACAGGGAGGGACTAGCAAGATGTGAAAGTTTCTAAATATACAAGTGCCACTTTCATTTGTTATAGGCACTGTAAAAACTAAAGTTGTTGACAGACATTAAATGATAAAATATTATATTTTCTTACAGGGTCCAGCAAACCTTCACCGATTTACATCAGTTCCTATTCCTCACCAGCAAGAGAACAAAATAGACGGCTACAGGTAATTTTTGAAATCTCATTTTAAAAGAATACTGATAGCAAGGCTCAACATATAATGATAGTATTGTTTGTTTTAGTAGAACTAAAGGGAGAGTAAAATGTGAATAAAAGCACTTCTAATAAATAGTTTTTTAGAGAGTGTTATTGTAACTGGAAATAACTTACCAGTTTATTGCCTCTGTATTTCCTTTTTTTAATCACTTGTCTTTAATTATTCATCTATTCTTGTTGTGGCTGGTTTGTGAGACCCATTTCCTGACTTGCCTTTTTTGTAGTTTCTGAAGGGAGAGTCATAATCCATGCAATCTAAAGATACTTTTGTTATCTGAATGTTTGATAGTAAATATGGCTGTGTCTACTTCTCTTCCCCCCAGACCTGTGATTCCATGTGGGTTTAGTTGCACTTGTGGAGGGTGTAGAGTAGATGGGGGGGGTGAAGAATTTTTCCTCTATTTCATCTAACCTTTGGTTAGACTTCACATTTGTTTTAAAAAAAAAAAAAAAAAAGTAACTTCTGTGGGATACTGGCCCAATTGGTGGAGCTGCACCCACTGAGAATTATAGGTCTGAAAAATCATAGTGACTTAAAAGAGTAACATTTTAGAGATCAGTATGCAAAGACATCACTGCACCACTCCATTGCGTGAATGGATAATACATAGCTACATCTATGCAATAAAGCCTATTATACACACAACTCTGAAAACTCACCCAAAGGTAGAAAAAGAAACTCAAATATTTTTCCCTCAAAATCTAATTTTTAAAAATTAATTTTTTATTTGTCCATTTTGTCAACAGCATCAGCAGTTGTACTACAGTCAAGATGACTCCAGCAGAAAGAACTATGATGCATACAGATTATATTTGCAGTCCCCACATAGCTATGAAGACCCCTATTTTGATGATCGAGTTCATTTTCCAGCTACTACAGATTACATGACACAATATGGACTGAAATCAACCACAAATTACGTAGACTTCTATTCCACTAGACGGCCCTCTTACAGAGCAGAACAATACCCAGGGTCACCTGATTCTTGGGTGTAGCATCAGAAAGTTACACAGAGGAATGCTATAGCTTCTAATCTTGCTTGGGAAGAAATGGAATGGCCTGTTTGCTGTTTGGATGGTGAAATGTGAAAGTGAAGTAAAAGGAGGAACAAGGAGGAGCTTTTTTTCAAGGACTTATCAGGAAGGTGAGAGAGAAATTGGAAGGGAGAACTTCTTGCTCTGTTTAGACGTTAGATCTAATTGTAGTTC